GCGCTCGCTGGCAAAAAAAGAACGAGATAAAAACAAACAGTAGCATTATACAGCATAAGAGTAATAAAATAACAGTAACAGATTATTAGTCAAATCTAAGCGTGTTTTTTAAATAAGATATCAGAACAGGGTAAGTGTGTAAAGAAGTACCAAAGGAAAGTAAGTCGATCAAGGAGGGATTCGGACCAATTTTGAGTTTACTCAGCATTTTTTATCTGGTAACTTGATAATGGCCAAATCAAAGAGGAAATGTATAATTGTTCCATGAAATGTTGTTCATGAAGGACAATTGTCACTTAGAGCTAGATTATGAGTGTAAAGTTTACTATTTAACGGTGGAAAATCTACCAAAAATTGAAAAATTAATTTTTGAATAATTTAAAACTAAATAGATTTTATGCCTATATTGAACTATTCTAAATCGATTTTGAAAAAGATTCTGGATGAAATGTACATATAATATTAGTTAGAAAAGCATTTCTATATTCGCTCTAGGAATAGAATTAATACTAGCGTAAGAACGGTTTCAAAACGAACAAGTATTAAATGGTGCCGTCGGAAGTATTTATTATATGTATTTACATTTTGACGAAGCATTTCAAAGGATGAGCAATCGAATGAACAACAAAATATTACACATTATTTAACGTCATCTATTTTTAAAATCACTATTTCTTGAACGTGTGAGAAATGAATACAGTGAGCAAATTCAGAAGACCACCGAACCAAATGAAGTACTCGACAACGGATTGATTAGGTATGTTGATTATTAAAAGGTCGATGTTGTTTGCCTTCATTTATTCTAGAAAGTATTAATATGTTGGAATATTGTTCTGCTGAAACATCGGAGCAGTCTTATATGAAGTATCAACTTACACTCGAATATGAATTTACGTGATTTAAATGGAATATTGTTAACGGCAACCGTAACAAAAACTGTTACAAAGACTAGATAATGATTTCAAAACAAATGAGAGGGCCCCATTTTCCTTAACTCTGGGTCACTGCTTTTTGGACTTAATTTTGATCAGATATTATAGAAAAAAGCAATTTTACGCATTTTTAAGCGAATATGTACTATTATAACCTTATAGAGACTGTTAAACTAACTTTTTGGAGGAGATACATAAAGCATATCGATGCTTAACAAAAACGATTCTGTTCAAAATCTAATGTGAATTTACGGTAAAGCTTGATGTAGAAAAATAGCCAACGAAAAACTCCAGTTCTTCGCTGACATTATCACTCGCATACATATTTTTAGCTGTATCGTATGTAGCGGGATCATCATCGTAATCATCCACTTGTAACGCAGCCTGTGCATTAAAATCATTCGGCATTTTATTCATACGAAGATATTTACATTGTTCATAACGTGTAATCAACGTCTAAAATCGATACAATGACCGGTTCTGATATCTTATTTAAAAAACACGCTTAGATTTGACTAATAATCTGTTACTGTTATTTTATTACTCTTATGCTGTATAATGCTACTGTTTGTTTTTATCTCGTTCTTTTTTTGCCAGCGAGCGC